CCCCTCCCCTGTCTCCTGCACACCCAGCCCCAGCCCTGAGTCCCCTCCTCCACCTCCCAGTCCCCTCCCCTGTCTCCTGCACACCCAGCCCCAGCCCTGAGCCACACACACAACCCCCTGCCCTATACAATCATTTCAATGCCGCATGTACATTTTCCATTTAACTAAAAAAAACCCACAATCATTACTGCAGTTAAGAACTCAACCCACACCCATATCTCTCAATAAAAGCAAGCAGATTAGCGGGTGAAGCCTACAGACTACACGCTCTGCCCTCCCCTCTACGGTCCTTGCAATGACTTCCTCTCAGGCTGGAATACCTGTACTTAAAACGAGAGCCCCTTTGTGGAGTTGCATTAATCAAATCTTCTCCAAACACAGACTCTGCTGCCCTCCGGTCCCATCCTCCTGCTTTATTCAGAAACTCCCCACCACCTTGTTTGCTGGGGTCAGGGCGAGCTCAGGCCTCACACACCTGACTGGCTTCTCTGGGACTCTCGCAATAATCTCGTCTCCAACACAACTCGGTTACAAGCCCCAGGCTGAGGACGTGGGAGAAGGATGGGTGTTGGGTCCCCTTGAATAGCCCCTGCCCATAGCTGGGGCTGCCCCATGGTTGATGCAGCACAGAGAGGGCTCAGGAAGGGCCAGAACCGTGGTGTTGGGTCCCCTTGAATAGCCCCTGTCCACAGCTGGGGCTGCCCCATGGATGACGCAGCACCCAGAGGGCTCAGGAAGGGCCAGAACCGCGACTGCAGAACAGCCCTGCAATATTTTCACAGAGGTTTGACAAGAGGTGGGACAGAGACAGGCCTGGTGTCATGGGAAACAACAACCACCTCCCGTCTCTTTATTGGCTGAAGCAACAGGAATTGTGAGATCGGTGCAGCCACTGATATGGCTCTTTCTGAGCCAGCATCCGACCCATGCCCTGGTATTCTACCAACACAGTCACTTTCTAAATGCCTCTGCCTGCCTTGGTCCTTCCCCCAGTGCCTTGTCCTCTCTCAGCATTTCCAGCCCCGTTCCCCTTACTGTAGGCTTAACACCCCATTTCATCCCCTCTCTTCACAGTGGAGATCAGCAGCTGATGTCATCTCAGAGATAAGGGTCCAAGATGGAATAGGTGGCCCAAGTATTCGTGTCCCGTGTCACCAGTGCTGAGCCAGGTGACAAACTGACTCTTCACTTGAGGAAGGCCCTGATGATCCTCTCACGCAGGTGTTTGCTTTTCACACTGTACACAATCGGATTCATCAGGGGCGGGACCAGCAGGTAGACGTAGCCCAAGAGAATCTGAAGCAGGAAAGGAGAACCCTTTGCAAATCTGTGTATCACGGACAAGCCGATCTCCGGTGTGTAGAAGAGCAGGACGGCGCAGAGGTGGGAGACGCAGGTGCTCAGGGCCTTGAGACTCTCTGTGTGGGACGCGATGCTCAGCACTGTTTTGAGGATCATCACGTAAGAGAGGAAGATGAGCAGCATGTCCAACCCCACTGTTAAGAGTGTAACAAACAAGCCATACACACTGTTGAAAGTGGTGTCAGAACAAGCCATCTTTATGACGTCTTGGTGCAGGCAGTAGGAGTGGGAGAGGACATTGGCTTGACAATATCGGAACTGTTTCAGGAGAAAAGGAACTGGTAATACTACGGCCACCCCTCTTAGCACAGATACTAGTCCCATCTTCCCTAGTCTCGGCAGGGTTAAAATGGAAGAATATCTCAGCGGGTTACAGATGGCAACAAAGCGGTCAAAGGCCATCAACAGGAGCATGGAGGATTCAATGAACTGAAGTGAGTGGATGAAGAACAGCTGGGCAAAACAGGCATCCAGGCTGATCTCCCTAGAGTTAAATAAGAATACACCCAGTATTGTCGGTACGGTGCCTATAGATATACCAAGGTCGGTGAGGGCCAACATGGAAAGGAAAATGTACATGGGCTCATGGAGGCTTGGGTCTGTTTTTATAATGAAGAGAATAACTGAATTCCCTGCTATCGAAATAAGATATATTATGCAGAAAGGGATGGAGATCCAGAGGTGGATTTCTTCATGCCCAGATATCCCAGTGAGAAGGAACACTGCAAACTGGAATTTGGTATCATTGGCAGCTGACATCATGTTTTGGGAGGTCTGCGTGGTTTTGAACGTCTCTTCCTGAGAAGAAAAAGAACAGGAGGTTCGATTATATTTAATGAGATATCTTTCTGTTCTCCATGCACATCAAGACACTCCCAGGAGCTCAAGGAATGCTAGTAAAAACAGCCTTGGGTTTACACCACCAATAGGAAGGCAGGCACTTCCAGACTGGATCAAATGTGTGCAGTCCTTCTTAACTAGTGGCCAGTGGCCAGTTCCAGATACGGCAGAGGAAGGTGGAAGAAGCCCGCAATAGGCAGCAATGAGATAACCTGCTCCGAGGGCAAGTTTCCCCCGATACCCACTAGTTAGATATATTTGGGATGTCAGGCCCAGTGTGGTAAGTGCATGGTGAAAAGGATCATTGTAATTATCTTTCCTGTACTGAAGCTATTTATAAACATGTTTCTTTGCCTGTTGATATGTATTATTTTATTTTTTTCCCACTCTTGAGATTCAAATTATGCCCCATCCCCTTTGCATAACAAGGGATACATTCTAAGGGCCAGGTTACTGATGCAGTAACATTAACTTCAACTACGTCACTACAGATTTACATATGTAAAGTCTATCAGAACTGGATTCTATTAACTGTTTCTCACCAGATGTCCCCAGTGATACACTCTGATCCCCAGGATTCCTGCCAAGAGAAGCTGACGTGCTCTACCTGGCAGGGTTGACTGAACCCAGAGATGTGATGCATGGGACAGGTTTCTTTTCATCCTCAAAGGACCCGTCTAATCCATATTTGTGAAGTTTCAAGCTGAGAGTGACAGTTACTTCAACTGGGCAGGGGAGGAGCAGCCATCAAAATGGTTGAATAGCAGAAACCCTAGATTTGCTCTAATATCCACTTGAGTCTGCAAGTGCCTTCAGACATACTCATGTAAAAGGTGATGGGCAAATATTAAACACAACCACTATTACACTCCCCTGCACCTCAGCTCTACTCTTTGCTGAAACACAGACCGGAGGTTCTCTTCTCCTCGGGACTTTTTGGAAAGTCTTGCACAAGTATTGCATAGGTATTGAGTGCACAACACTGAGCATAAGTGTTAGAAACTGGTACCGGGAGACAGTATCATACAACTGTTAAGTGAACAGAGTGGGTCGCACAGACCCATTGCATACCACGGGCGGAGTACTCCTGCAAATACTTTCTTTAGCAAAAGCCTTTTCAACAGTACCATTGCTCCTTCCTAAGACGATTCTCATACTCTGACGCTAGCTTTCGATATACATGAATACCAGGAACATCTGGATTACAATGGAAAGGTTTGACTTAACATTTACACTTCTGTACTTTAGTATACACTTGTTAACCCATTTTTTCCCACTCTGATACTCTTTCAGAGACAATTTCTCAGATTAGAATGGGACCTACAATGTAATGCCAGATAGCTGGATTTCTTCAGAATAATGAAAATAACACAGTATCTCAGTCCTCATTCAGTTACTTGTTGGCAAGGAAATGTCTGGAAGTTCTCCAGGTTAAAAGTTAACTGAGTCTCTCTGGTTCTATTCTGTTAATCTGCGGCCTATATAGAGAGAGTGGTAACAAGCATTCATTCCCTTGGCTCCGACCTCTGGTACACAGTAACCCTAGCACCTGTTCTTCAGGCATGATGAGGGTTTGCAAGTAGATTTCAAATTTAAACACATGCATATTCATGGAAATGGAAATTCATTTCCCATATGACAGTAGCCTATTGCTCTGTGTGTCTGTCTTTCTCTCTCTCTGTCTATGCACGCTATTCATAACATCTTTAGCACATGGGAGTAGCATTATGACAGAGGTGGTGCTGAGCTGCCATGAGGAATTATGTGTCTTAAACTCAGTTCTTAATATCCTAACTTGGGGAATGGGGGTTTAACACTCCGATCTCCCTTTTAATGTCAGTTTTTTGTGAATTTTGAATAACCCACCATCGAGCAGGGGCAGAGATAGGGGAAGAATTAACAAGGTACCTCATGCTGCCTGCCCTCCAACCAACACTGAGTCACCTCAACAGCCTAGCTGAGTCCTCTGCCGCTGCACAGAACATCTGCCAATGCAAACAGCCTGCAGCCTTTGCCCTGCACTTGGCATGTTACAGACAGTAACACCTGCCAGCGTACCCAGTTCCTGCTAGAAGGGAGTCACTGGCACCAGAGGTCTTCACCGTGAAGAACAAGAAGTCACTGGAGATGTTGCACGGGCAGCAGGCAGTGGGTGTTCAGATAGGAAGGCAACTTCCTTTATGCAGCAAGTTTGTACCTTCCCTTGGGACCGTTTGGCCATCAGGGAACCTCAGCTGCTTGGCTTCCTGTGCACCAGCTTTAACCCCATCACAGTCAATGGCAAACAGCAGGAGGCTAAATTTCAGAGATGGGGGGTGATGCTAAATAACTGGCCTGCAGCACCATCCCTGCTGCAGGCTCCGTTCCTCCACTCTGGGCTTGTTGGCCCTGCACATTTGGTTCCGATCAGTCACAAGGCTCCCTTAGGGGCGGCTGTGTAGTAACGATGATACTGTCACACCTGTGCTCTTGATGAAATAGAATACAATCACAAGAACATAAGAATGGCCAGGCTGGGTCAGAACAACGGTCCATCTTACCCAACAACAATGCATCTCACCCAGTGTCTTGTCTGCCAACAATGGTCAATGCCCCAGAGGGAGAGAATAGAACAGGCAATCATTGTATAATAATAACAGAGAAGCAGATTTCTCCCTGGAAGCCCCTTTCCTGTTCAGCAAACTCAGGGCAGAGGCCAAGGAAGGATTCCCAACATGGAAATTCCCCTCAGATTATTCCAGGAGGGGAAATTCCCTTCCCTTCTCACGGATGAATGAAAAGCGGTTGCAGGATCCAGGAAGCCCCAAAGTTAGGAAGATATCTTTATTATCCACTGGTAGCTTGGCCCCACCACCCACAATCTCTGGGCCACCACACCCTCTCCAGTTCCCTGCTAGCACAGGCTCCTTAGGGATGTGCTAGTAGGGCCTGTCACAGTAGTCACTGCCCACAGCGTCTGCTGAAGGGCTGTGGTACAAGGAGGAAGGGGCTGCACAGTGATAGGAAGGCTGGTTAGAGAAGCTGATGGGCACAATAACCCAGCCAGAGACTGGTTGGGAGGTTTCAACATACCCAGAGTACAGCCACGGACTCTGTCCAGGCAGCTGCAGCTGAGCTTCCAGAGACAAATGGTCCATTTTCTATGAAAACTCACCTCAAGAACAAGATGAAAAGGAAACAATTTAGTTTTGGTCAGAATTATCCGCGAGGGGGGAAATATCCTCCATTTTCCAGCCCCGCTCAAGAGAGAGATCTTGGGGCCAGTGTGGACAATTCTCTGTGAACAGCCGCTCAATGTGCAGGAGCTGTCACAGAAAGCAAAGACGATATTGGGAACCAGAGGCGGTGGATATGACAGGCCAGGATAAGCCAATCCTTCTTTGACACAGCTGCGGGCGTTGGCTTCTCGTCACCGGCTGAGGGGTTTGCACAGGGCAGTTTTTAGCTTATTATAACGCACCATGCAGGTTCCAGGGTGGCTGAGGAAACAGTTTCCTGGATTCGTCAGTTATCTCCCTGAATTCCATAGAGATTACTGATGAAACCAGGAGGGAGAGCCCCCCAACAATTCAGGCAGGCTGGCCATGCTCACACTGTTCTGCTGAGGACACAGCCTAGCTTTTCCTCGCCTTGTTATCGCCCAACGTGACAGCAAGAGATGCCACGGCCCCAACTGAGCTGCCTGAGTGCTTTCCCTGAGTCACTCGAGAGCAAACCAGAGATAATAGCCAATTCCAGTTCCCCTGCCCTGCACTCTTCCTGGAGTGCAAACCCAGAATGATACTGTCTTGCACTGCACCGGAACATGTAAAGTTGTTTTCTCCTCCATGTGGGAGAGCGATAAAATCATCTTTGTTCACAAAACTGAGCTATTCCCAGATACGTCACCAAAACACAATGGTTATGATCAAATGTAAAACAAGTTTATTTACTACAGAAAAAACATTTAAGTGATTGTAAGTGTTGGGATATGTAAAAATTAATAGGGGTCTTGGAAGGCAATACAATAGTGGTAGGGGTCAGGCCAGAGTAGGCATTGTCCTTTGAACATGTTTTTTCCCCCTTTGTCCTTGCAGCCTGGAAAGATAAATAAAGGGTCTGGCCAGAGCAAGTATTGTCCTTTCTGATGTATAAACATGCTCTTTCCTTTTGTTCTTGCAGTCTAGGAAGATAGATAAGCATACAGTTGCACTCTTTGCTTTTCTCTTGCTTGTCTCCACTTGCTCTAAAAAAGCATTTCAGGGGCACATCCTTTGTCATCTCTGTTACCTGCTGATTCGGGAAGTATGTCATGTAGAAAAGTGCTGATCTAACTGAAAATCCTGTAAACTGTAAACAGGGAGGGGTATAATAATATTCATCACCTGCCTATTAATATTCATTGTATAGGAGTTACCATCACTAAATAAGGAGTAAAGGGAAGTAGTGATAGTGTGGATTAATATACTAAAATGGATAAAGGAATGTAACTGGTGCTAAATCATTGCTCATTCGCAACGTTGTGCTGGTGGTGCGATGTGGAACGAATATCTGCAATAAAGAAGTCCGTTTACTCCGTCCATTCCTGGGTCTCCTGTTTTGTCTCTAACAATAAGGAATAACAAATTGATCAAAGCAGATTGCCTAACAAATACACAAAAAGTCCAATTAAGCCTAACGTCCTAGATAAATTGGATATGAATTAGCAATGTGTCCTGTCCCCTGACTGATGATAAAAACAGTCCGACAGGTTTCCTTACATAGGCTAGAAATCCCTCTAGCCTGGAACCAGCACTTTCCCCATTTCACTCTGTGTCCCTCAGGCGTTCCTCTTCTGTGTGAGGAGTGAAGCCAGGAGATAATGTCATTCCCCAACCAATATTGCTTTTCCATATGGTGGTAACTCTTTGTTTCAAGCCAAGTTCCCAGCCCAGGCTGTG